AAGACAAGAGAAAGACATCCAAGGAATCCAAATAGGAAAAGAAGAAGTCAAACTATCACTATTTTGCAGATGATATGATAATATACGTAGAGAACCCCAAAACTCCACAGAAAAACTAATTCAACTACTCAATCAGTTCAGTTAAAGTGGCAGGATACAAAATCAACACGCAAAAGTCAGTAGCCTTCCTATACACAAACAATAAATCTGAAGAAGAAGAAATCAAAAAAACCATCCCTTTTATTATTGAAACAAAAAAAAAAACAAATACTTGGGAATAAATCTAACAAAAGAGGTAAAGGACCTATACAAAGAAAACTATAAGACACTGTTAAAGAACTAGAAGAAGAAGACCAAAGAAATGGAAAGACGTCCCCTGTTCATGGATTGGAAGAATAAACATTATTAAAATGGCCATCCTACCAAAAGCAATATACAGATTCAATGCTATTCCAATCAAAATTTCAATGTCATACTTCAAAGAAATAGAACAATTATTGATGAAATTCATATGAAATCACAAAAAACCCCGAATAGCCAAAGCTCTCCTGAAAAAAAAAGAAGGAATGGAGGCATCACACGCCCGACTTCAACTATACTACCAAAGCCATAATCATCAAAACTGCATGGTATTGGAACAGAACAGACATACAGACCAATGGAATCGAATAGAAAATCCAGAAAATAAACCCACAGATTTATGGTCAACTAATCTTTGACAAAGGAGCAAAGACTATGCATTGGAGCAAAGAAAGTTTGTCAGTAAGTTTGCTGGGAAAACTGGGTCGCTACATGCAAAAGAATGAAGCTTGACCACTACCTCACACCATACACGAAAATCAACTCAAAATGGATTAAAGAACTAGACATAAGACCTGAAACCATAAAATACATAGAAGGAAATATAGGCGAAACACTACGTGATTTGCACATCAAAGACATCTTTACAGACACATCCCAAAGCAGTGAGAGTGAAGGCAAGATAAACAGCTGGGACTACATCAAATTAAAGAGCTTCTGCACAGCAAAAGAGACAATAAAAAACAAAGAGAACCCCACCAACTGGGAGAACAGTTTTGCACCCAACACTATTGATAAAGGACTGATCACAAAAATCTGCAAGAGCTGATGAGACTCAACAACAACAAAGAAAATAATCCAGTTGAAAAATGGGCAGAAGAGCTAAAAAGGAACTTCTCTGAGGAGGAAATGCAAATGGCCAACAGGCATATGAAAAATGTTCAACATCACTTGTAATCAGGGAAATGCAAATCAAAACTACCATGAATACCATCTTACACCAGTGAGAATGGCCATATTAAAAAAACTAGCAACAACAAATGTTGGCGAGGGTGGGGGAGAAAGGAACTCTTCTGCACTGTTGGTGGGAGTGCAAACTGGTCCAACCACTATGGAGAGCTGTGTGGAGATTTCTGGACCTACTAAACATAGAGCTTCCATATGATCCAGCAATTCTACTCCTAGGTATCTACCCAAAGGACACAGAAACTTCAATTCCAAAGAACACCTGCGCCCCTATGTTTATAGCAGCACTGTTTACAATAGCTAAGCTTGAAACAACCCAAATGCCCAAAAATAGATGACTGGATCAAGAAGATGTGGTACATATACACCATGGAATATTACTCAGCATTCAAAAAAGATAAGCACGTACAATTTGCAGCAACATGGATGGCGCTGGAAGGGATCATGCTCAGCGAAATAAGCCAAAAAGAAAAAGAAAAATATCGGATGGTCTCACCATAGCAGGAATCTAGAAAACTTAAATAAGGGAGCAGGAAAATGAATAAGTATAAGAAAGTGAAAATCAGAATCAACAAAAAACTATGAAACAGAGACACTTTGGGGGTGGGGGGGGCGGGAGGGGAGGGATTGGGATCAGAAAGGGGGGGTTGCAATTGTATGGGGAATATAAAAATAAAATTTATTATTTAAAAAATAAAAAGAAGTTATGTTCCACTGTCACACAGCCAGTAAGTAGTCAAGAGACTCACACTCAGGTCTTCCTACTGCCAAAACCCATGCTTGTGTCCATGTCCACAAATCCAGATATCTCAGAAACACTGTCTCAATAACCAGGATCCCCAGTCTTCCTTTTTTGTTTTGCTTTCCTATCTGATGAAATAACTTCACATCCAATTTTACTTTGGAGGGTCTTCCCACTGCAAATGATCGCTTCTCAGTATCTTTGGGACTATGTAGAGGTCCTAATCGATACACATGACAAGATTCCACAGGATTTTTTTTTAAAGATTTATTTATTTATGCATACAAGAGCTGTGGTACAGGCCAGAAGCGCAGGAGTGTGAGAGGTTTCACCAGAGACAGAGCGAGGAACAGAACAGGCAGACTGACCGAAATACACTGCTGAGGGGAGCAGCGGGCGAGTCAGGAGAGGTCTGTTGCACCATGTGGGTAGCTCCCTGGCCGGCCGGGCATTGAACTGGTGCTGCAGGGTCTTCGGATTGCTTCATAGTGCGGTGCTTAACCCCTTGCACCACCAGGGAGGCCCCATGGGATTTTTTTTTTTAATCTCTCTCATTTTCCCTCCATTTCTGAACTTTGCCTTAAAAACCTTCCTTCTGATTCACTCTACTTTCTTCATTTGTTCACAGTTTTCACATTCACTATTTTGAGTTACTTTTCTCTTTGGTGCCCTGTGCACATAGAATGGTATCTCACTCACCTCAGATTGTTTACTCTGACTTTCCCAACCCAAACCACTGTTATTTGTTAATTTCATTCCCTAAAAATAATTGATACTGAACGTATGGTACCTTGTACATAATCGATGCTACCCTAGTTCACTTGAATGAACTGCTTCCCTTAAAAAAAAAAATCCGTTCATTCTCTAGGCAATAATCTTAACTACATCAGACAAATTAATTGCACACCAATGGTGTTAGATCTCTTTGCACATTTAATCATGCAAACAACCTTGTGTGCCAGCTACTAGTGTTCTTATTTTAGAGTTGAGGAAACCAGGCTCAGGGAGATGACAAAACTTGCCCAATGTTTCTGCTAGACCTAGTCCTCTACTCAAAAATATCTCTACTGCTAACTTGGTGCAAAAGTCATTCCTTGGGTACATTATTAAAATGTTTATATTCCCAGTGTAGGTATCCATTAATTTCCTTCTAGACGGCAAAGTGCAATAATTGAAAGCAGAAGCCATGGCATTGGACATATTTAGGTTTGAATTATGACTGTGCTGTGTGACCTTGGAAAAGGCACTTCAACTCTCATGAACTGTTTCTTTATCTGTAAAACAAGGACAAAATTCCCATGTAAAAGAGTTATTATAAGAACTAAATGAGATGGTATCTCTAAAGTACTAAAAGAGTAAGTACTTGAAAATGATAGTTTGTCATTAATAATATTAAGATTCAGATTGGAAACGATACAGATCCTGCCAAATAAGGAGTAGATCTTGACTTCCAGCTGCAGAGGAAGATTATATTTTTTGGTTTTATTCCCTTTTTTATTTTTTAAACATCCTTGTTTATTTTTTCACACTATAGGGTTTCCTCCCTCAAATGCAGTCACCACAGTTTTCCCACCACTAAAGTGCCCACAGTCCTCCACCACACTCTCCTCCCCTCCTGAGTGTCTCAGATCTAAGGTCTGCTTTCAAGGGTCAGTCTAAGTTTGTCTTTGTCTGATCCTTTGTTTGGTTTCTCTAGATTCCACATATAAGTGAAACCATCTGGTATTTATCTTTCTCCTTCTGGCTCACTTCATTTAGAATAATCCCTTCCAGTCCCATCCATGTTGCGGCAAAAGGCATGAGTTTTTATCTTTTTTGATCCTCAGTAGTAATCCATTTTGTATACGGATCACATCTTCTTAACCCACTTAGGTAGTGTCCATATGTTGGCTATTGGAAATAGTGCTATTATAAACATAAGAGTGCAGGTCTCCTTTTGAATTGGTGTTTTGTGCTCTTTGTATGGACACCTAGGAGTGGAATTGCTGGGTCATACA